CTGCCTGCAGTGCGGGAGACCTGGGTTCAATCCCTCGGTCGGGAAGATCCCCTGGAGAAGGACATGGCAACCCACTCCAGTACTCTTGCCTGGAGAATCCCATGGATGGAGGAGCCTGGCAGACTACAGTCCATGGTGTTGCAGTCGGATATGACTGAGCTACTTCACTCAGGAATAGGATGTGATCCAACTCTCTTTTTTTCTGGGGAAATGACAGTTATCACAAATATTTCTTGAATGATTCTTGCTTATCATGCAGTAAACTTTCATATATCTGAACTCTTTAATACTTCATTGTACTCAATGCTTATATCAAATATTTATAATACCTGGGTAGGCCATTACCTTTCTCCACATTTACTCTTTATAAGAAAAAAAATTATTATTATTTTTCCATGTGAACTTTAAAATTGGCCTTTTCCTGTGCCATAGAAGTATCAAAAGGTGTTTTGTTACCATATGAAATTTATAGATTCAGTCTTCCATTTATTTGCATAGTCTTTTGGTACCATAACATTTTATTTACCTGGCTCTTAATAGATATAAGTTTATTCCTAGGTATTTTTCTGTATTACAGATGGAATCCTTGCTGAATGTTTTGTATTTAATATGAAATGGCTGTTGGTTTCTGCATATAAATTATAACAGCTTATTGAATTCTGTTTCTATTGTGATTTTTCAGGTTATTCTAAATTGGATTGTAAATTGCCAGTTTGTAAATTAATAGAATTCTGTCAGAAGAACTGGAATATCTTCATTGTGATTTCCTCATTTCTTTGCTGTAGTAAAAGGCCAAATTATAATTTCTAAAAAACAAGCAAACATACCAGAATGAAAATAGTCAATTTGATTAATTTGATTATTTTAATGGCAATCGCTTTTATTTTTTATTTGTTCAATATTTTTTGTTTATTCTTACTTATTTAATGTATCTGTGGGGAGTGGGGGAATTGCTTTTAAACATTCAATTTCATTGAATGGCCCATGTATTGGAGATAAGATCTGGCCAGTGCTGGAGAGAATGCCAGACTGACTGTGTCTCTTCAGACCTGTCTTCTAAAGATGAAGATCATTCTGTGGTTCGCTTCAGTAGTAACTGTTTTTTAGAATAGCTAAAAATGCTTTAATATGGAACTGAACCACGAGAAATGGGAATTTTGCCTTAATTTTGGTCTGAATAGTGCTAATTGAGCTAAAATAAAATAATAGTTAAATAGAGTGAGGGAAAAGTGATTTTAGATACAAGAAAAAATGTTACATAATTCTTACAGTTTTCAATTTGAAGATGTGCTACATAACTTGTGTGAGTTGCTGAGACTTTTGTCTCACATTTTAGTTAATGTTGGGGCTTCCCTGGCGGCTCAGACAGTAAAGCATCTGCCTGCAGTGCCGGAGACCTGGTTTGGATTGTTGGGTTGGGAAGATCCTCTGGAGGAGGGCATGGCAACCCACTCCAGTATTCTTGCCTGGAAAATCCCCATGGACAGTGAAGCCTGGTGGGCTCCAGTCCATGGGGTCGCAGAGTCGGACATGACTGAGCAAATCACAAATGTGGGCATAAAAGGTGTTTACTGAATCGGTGCTTCTCAAACTTTGCTCTGCATACTCATCGCTCATTCTGATTCTTTGGGTCTGGAGTGGGCCCTGAGGTTCTTTATTTTTAACCAGTTTTCAGATGCTGCTGGTCCCAGACCATGCTTCAAGTAACCAGGTACTAAATGACCATCACTTTGATATGGTTTTCTAGATAAGCTGAACTATGTAAACTAAATGTTAAACAGATCCCATTGATCAAATGCATCATTCTTTTTTTTTCTATTCCATAGATGGTTTCCCTGCTTATTAGACATGCTGCATTTACTGACTCATTGTGGTGTCCTGCTTACTAGGACATACACTCTACCTCAAGGAGTATGATGACACTCTGCCACCCTCTTCTCCCATCCAAATTTCAAATCTGTGACACTTCTTTTCATCTAATTTCTTAAGACTGGGTTGTTGTTCTTCACCTGTCTAGGTGTTGTTCTTCACCTGTCTTCACTTCCCATCTTTCAAGATCCACTTCAAATCCTAGCTTTAGGACATCTGTTTCAGCTGCTTTAGCCCACTCTGAGCCATCTTTTCTCTAAACTTTTAGTGTCTTTTAAAATCAGTATTTTACTTCTGTCTCTTGGTTTGTTTCCCTAGTTAGATTGTAGACCAATTAAAGTGAAGGTGTAGCTTGGGGACATTTTGCCTTCCCTTTATGACCTCTCTTCATGGATATGTAAAAAACAGTTTGGACACTGTCTCTGAATCTGTAAACTTTGCTCTAAAAACCTGTTTCTATTCCAAGTCCAGTTGCTTTTATATTTTAAGCATTTCATGAATCCATGCTTTTCTCTTCCTCCAGTCTAAGCTTAAGAGCAGCTTTCATGGACCAACCTAGGAGACTATGAACTAACCTGTCTGCATCCACTCTGTTGCCCCTTGCAGTCCGTTCTCACAACTGTAGTATAACTCCAGTCTATCATGTATGTTAGTGTCTCCAGAATTGTCTTTCATATGTTGCCTTTCTCTGTTTACCCCAATTTATAAACCTTATTTTACGGTATCTAGGGACAAGTCACTATGTTTTTCTGACCCAGTCTTCCCTTTACACTTTGCCTGAAAGAAAGTGAAAGTGAGACTCTTTGCGACCCTGTGAACTATATGGGATTTTCCAGGCCAGAATACTGGAGTTGGTAGCCATTCCCTTCTCTAGGGGATCTTCCCAACCCAGGAATCGAACCCAGGTGTCCTGCATTGCAGGTGGATTCTTCACCAGCTGAGCCACCAAGGAAGCCGCACTTTGCCTAGTTAGTCCCTTTTTACCCTTCAGAATACAAGTCAAGATTCCTTTACTTGGGAAAGTATTCCTTGATGCTTCCCTGGAACCAGAGAGATTTTTGAAGGAAAAACAAAGCAAATCAACAAACCTTTGATGGCATCTCTTTGTTTTCAGCATAAAGCAAGATCGGCACTTGGTCAGGCCTTCTGTTTACATCTGTTAATCCTTTGTGTGTTATCAGTTGTTAAAATCACTGATGTTTGAATTAATTCTAGTTCTAGTAGGCCTCTATTAAAAACAAACAGCAAACAAAACCAGCCTACCAAAAACTACTTGTTAACAAAGCAGAAAGACATTAATTGGTCCGATCACTTTAAAACACTAGGACTTAGTAGGGGTGAAAATCAGTGTTAATTGGATATTACGGATTTATTTTTAATGATTTTTTGTTTTATTAAAAAAAATAAAAGCATGCATACAGTGAAGTATAAAACTATGTCTTATAGGTTTGTTATCATTTAAAAGTTAATGCACTTTGTTTTATCACATTCAGGTTTACAGAAAAGTATTGGGTTTTTACGTTATATCTAATAAGTCATCAAACCTAAGGTTATCTAGATTTTGTCCTGTTATTTTCTAAGAGTTTTATAACTTTGTATCTTACATTTAGATCTGTGGTCCATTTTAAATGAATTTTTGTGAAAAGGTTAAGGTCTGTAGATTTCTTTTTCTTTCTTTCATACATGGATATCCATTTGTTTCAATACCATTTGTAGGAAAGACTGATCTCTTCATTGAATTGTCTTTGCTCTTTTGTCAAAAGACTGCTTGACTATTCGTGTATGGGTTTGCTTTTAGATTCTTCCATTGATCTATTCTTTTTTGTTGTTGTACTTTTTTTTTTTTTCATTTATTTTTATTAGTTGGAGGCTAATTACTTTACATCATTGCAGTGGTTTTTGTCATACATTGAAATGAATTAGCCATGGATTTACATGTATTCCCCATCCTGGTCCCCCCTCCCGCCTTCCTCTCCACCCGATCCCTCTGGGTCTTCCCAGTGCACCAGGCCCAAGCACTTGTCTCATGCACCCAACCTGGGCTGGTGATCTGTTTCACCCTAGATAATATACATGTTTCGATGCTGTTCTCTTGAAACATCCCACCCTCCATTGATCTGTTCTTTTACCAGTATTATACTGTCTTGATTACCGTATCTTTTTTTGGGGGGGCCACTTTTTTTTAATTGAAGGATAATTGCTTTATAGAATTTTGTGGTTTTCTGTCAGACATCAACAAGAATCAGCCATAGGTACACCCATATCCTCTCCCTGCTGAACTTCCCTCCCCATTCCACCCTTCTAGAGTGTCACAGAGTCGTTGTTTAAGTTCCCTGAGTCCTGCAACAAATTCCCATTGGCTAGCTGTTTTACATGTGGTAATGTAAATTTCCATGTTATTCTCCATACATCTCATCCTTGCCCCCCTCCCCTGCCCCTGTGTCCATAGCTCTGTTCTCCACCTCTGTTTCTCCATTGCTGCCCTGAAAATAAATTCATTAGTACCATTTTTCTAGATTCCATATATATGTGTCAGTATACCTTAATTTCTCATTCTGACTTAACTTCACTCTGTATAATAGGCTCTAGGTTTAGTAACTAGTGAAGTTGAATGGAGCATGTCAGTCTCCTAACTTTATCGGTATTGTTTTATAGGTATTTTCTTGAAGAGACCTCTAGTCTTTCCCTTTCTATTGTTTTCCTCTATTTCTTTGCATGGTGACCAAAGCCATCCCCAAGGAAAAGAAATGCAACAAGGCAAAATGGTTGTCTGAGGAGGCCTTAGATAAATGATGGAAAAAAAAATTATGTAAATATGGAGAAAGCTACTAGATGCTGGAAAAATTTTTTTTAGAGTTAAGGGTAGGCAGATAGTATGGAATTCCAGAATACCAGAATATGCAGAGAACCGGAATAACCTAGAGACATAGTTAGAAAATGATGTGTCAGGCAGTGGTCTTGTAGTAAAACACATGAGACATGGAGATGAGTGATGCAAGCGATCAGTGCTTCTCATCCTCTCTTAATTCCGCATTTCAGGGTCCCAAAGTCCTGAGATGATAGCAAGTTTGCAAAAGTTTACAGGCTATTCCAGTTGGATTTCTTTGCAGTGAAACTTTCTTGTTCCACAGCTCTTGGACAAGCACAAGAATACGGAGAGCATGGTAGAGCTTCTGGACTTGTATCAGATGGAGGACGAAGCCTACAGCAGCCTTGCAGAAGCCACAACTGAACTCTATCAGTATTTACTGCAGCCATTTCGAGACATGCGAGAACTTGCTATGCTACGAAGACAGCAGATCAAGGTATTTTTTTTTAAACTTAAAATGCAACCTAGCTATTTCGTAGTTCTCAGTCTGGCTGGCTGTGCATTTTAATTATTAAAGGAGCTTTTATAAATGTAGATATCTGGTCCATTGTTCCCAGAGATGCTAGTTTGGTAGTTTTGTGTTACACAGAGCCTGAATACCTCATCTTAAAAGCATCTGAAAAGGTGACTCTGCTGAATAGGCGGGGTTGAGAGGGCCTTGTCTAGCCTAGTCCTAGACTTCTGTAGCAGGAGTTTGGGGAACATATGTTTTGGGAGGACCTCTTTAAAAGTTACAAGGCTTTAATGGTAGACTTTTAAACTTCATGACATTTGATTTTTGTGTGTAAAGTAATACTACATTTTTTGAGGTGAGTGTTAGGGGTTTGGTTTTATAGCTGACCTAAAATCAGTGTTGCTGTTTAATTCACATGAAAATATTGCTGAACTAGGATATTAAAATTTTTTTGCATAACGGGTTAATTTGGAGCATTATTTAATAAATTTATATGTGAGAAATTACTAATTATTCTGAGAACCTTATGCTTGGGGGCAAGAATGAGTGTATATTTGAAAAAATATAACGTAAAGCATGTCTGTCTGTCTTTTTTCCTTTAATGAATCAACATGGAGCCATACAGACCATCACATAATTGATATGTTCTTCTTTATTAATAATTTTGAAAAATATGGGCATTTTGAAAAAAAATGGAAGTTTTACCGTAAAACTTGGCATTTTGGTTAAAGTGATAAATAGTAACTAAGAATTTTTAGGCATTACAGTTTCCTTCAATTTTTAAAAATGAACTGTAGAATTTTTGCCCATTGAAAACTTGACTGGAAGGCCAGGGATGAACTAGAAGACATGGAGGCCCCATCTTCTTCTAAACTAGGTTGCAGTGTAGAGAAGACATAATATATACAGCTTAACATTGACTATCAGAGTCTATGTGAATTTTTGCTTTCATATTAATTATTAATATATCATGATTTGTATAGGAGAAGGCAGTGGCAACCCACTCCAGTACTCTTGCCTGGAAAATCCCATGGACAGAGGGGCCTGGTGGGCTGCAGTCCATGGGGTTGCTAAGAGTTGGACACGACTGAGCAACTTCACTTTCACTTCACTTTCACTTTTCACTTTCGTGCATTGGAGAAGGAAATGGCAACCCACTCCAATGTTCTTGCCTGGAGAATCCCAGGGACAGAGGAGCCTGGTGGGCTGCCGTCTATGGGGTCACACACAGTCAGACACGACTGAAGCGACTTAGCAGCAGCAGCAGCAGTATGACTTATGCTGAGTATTAACATTAGCAAATTGATTGAACCGCCATGTCAGACTGTACTGTCCACTAGCATCACTTAATACTCCATTTTTTTCTCCTGGGAAGCAGAATATAGGTGAAGAGAAACTGCCAATGTATTTTTTAAACTGGTAATATTTTCAGAGGTAAAAACGGTATTTTACTGCATTGGTCCTCTGATGCCTCTCAACTATAATGATGAGCTAGAAAGAGAACAGGAACAAATTGCCAAAAATTCAACTACTTAGATGAAATGGACACATTTCTTACGGAAATACAGATAGTCAAAATAGGTTCAAAGGAAAATAGAAAAAATTTGGTAGCTTGATATTAACAAAGTTGAATTCATAATTTAAAACCATGAGGTAAGCATTATCCAAATCAAATGACATTACGGAGAAAAAGAAAACTACAGGTAAATATCCCTTATGAATGTAGATGTAATAATCTTTAATGTAGTATTGAAAAATAGGATTCAGTAATATACCATAACCAGGATTTATCTCAGAAAGACAAGATTGGTTTAACATTACAAAAAGTAATCAATGTAACTCACAATATTATCAATAAAGAAAAAAAAATCAGTGTCTGTGGGTGTATGAATGCATTTGATAAAGTTCATTGCCCATCCATGGTAAGATTTCAGCAAAGTAGGCAGAGAAGGGAACATCCTTGACCTGACAAAAATGAAAGTGTTAGTCACTCAGTCGTGTCCAACTCTTTGTGACCCCATGGACTGTAGCCCGCCAGGCTCCTCTGTCCATGGAATTCTCCAGGCAAGAATACTGGAGTGGGTAGCCATTCCCTTCTCCAGGGGATGGATCTTCCTGACCTGGGGATCAAGTTTGGGTCTCTTGCATTGCAGACTGTCTGAGCTACCAGGGAATCCCATCCTTGACCTGATAAAGGATATTATGTAGAGCTCATTTAACATCATACGTGATGATGAATAATTGAATTCTTCCCCCACTAGACAGAATTGTCTGCTCTCACAATTTTTATTCAGTGTTTTTCTGGCATTGGGGAAAAAAGTAAAGCTTTTTGTAATTCGTAGAGTATGTGATCACACATGTGAAAAATAAGAATCTAAAAAAGCTACTGGAAGTAATTGGTGAGTTTAGTTACAAGGTCAATATTTAAAAATTCAGCTGTATTTTCTGTTTTCTAGAAATGAAACTGAAACAAATTTTTTAAAATGCTTGAAATGTTTAAAGATAAATTTTATAAAATCTATTAAAGGACTGTATACTGAAAAATTATAAAATTTTGCTGAGAGAACTTAAAGCATACCTAAGTAAATGGGAGACAGACCATGGTAATAGATTGGAAGAAAATCTATTAACAGTAGTCAATAATGTTCACATGTCAGCTCTCAATGGATCTGTAGATGCAAATTAAAATTCCAGTAGGGTGGTTGCATATTCAATTAGTTTTTCACAAAGGTACCAAAGAATTCAGTAGGGGGAAAAAATAGTCTTATCAACAAATGTTGCCAGAAGTGGATATATATATAGAAAAAATGAACCCTAGTCTTCCTTATGTTACACCATATACAAAAATTAATTTGAATATATCTTAGATGAAAACATAAAGCTTATAGTATAAAACTTTTATAAGCAAACTGCTAAAGGTTTTACAGTCTTTGGGAAGGAAAGGCAAATGTTTTTTTAGATACGATGCAGAAAACTTGACCCCAAAACTAATAAAAAGAATGATAAATTGGACTTCACTAAAATTAAATATTTTGCTATTTGAAAGATTAAGAAAATGAGAAGGCAGGCCATACACTAAGACAAAATAACTTGTAATATCAATATATCTGAGAACGGAACTGTGCAACTCAGTAAGATAAAATCCCCAAATTTTCAATATGAGCTAAATATTTAAAAGGACACAAAGAAATGACCAATAATCACATATAGAGATGCCCAACACACTCACCTAGGAAATACAGATTGATACCAGAATACAATACTGTACATACTCACCTAGGAAATAGAGATTGATACCAGAGTGTGACACTGTTACACACTCACCTAGGAAATAGAGATCGATACCAGAGTGTGACACTGTTACACACTCAGCTAGGAAATAGAGATCGATACCAGAGTGCGAGACTGTACACACTCACCTAGGAAATAGGGATCGATACCAGAGTGTGACACTGTTACACACTCAGCTAGGAAATAGAGATCGATACCAGAGTGTGACGCTGTTACACACTCAGCTAGGAAATAGGGATCGATACCAGAGTGTGACGCTGTTACACACTCATCTAGGAAATAGAGATCGATACCAGAGTGTGACGCTGTTACACACTCACCTAGGAAATAGAGATCGATACCAGAGTGTGACACTGTTACACACTCAGCTAGGAAATAGAGATCGATACCAGAGTGCGACACTGTACACACTCATCTAGGAAATAGAGATCGATACCAGAGTGTGACGCTGTTACACACTCAGCTAGGAAATAGAGATCGATACCAGAGTGTGACGCTGTTACACACTCAGCTAGGAAATAGAGATCGATACCAGAGTGTGACGCTGTTACACACTCACCTAGGAAATAGGGATCGATACCAGAGTGTGACGCTGTTACACACTCAGCTAGGAAATAGGGATCGATACCAGAGTGTGACGCTGTTACACACTCATCTAGGAAATAGAGATCGATACCAGAGTGTGACACTGTTACACACTCAGCTAGGAAATAGAGATCGATACCAGAGTGTGACGCTGTTACACACTCAGCTAGGAAATAGAGATCGATACCAGAGTGTGACGCTGTTACACACTCAGCTAGGAAATAGAGATCGATACCAGAGTGTGACACTGTTACACACTCACCTAGGAAATAGGGATCGATACCAGAGTGTGACGCTGTTACACACTCAGCTAGGAAATAGGGATCGATACCAGAGTGTGACGCTGTTACACACTCATCTAGGAAATAGAGATCGATACCAGAGTGTGATGCTGTTACACACGCACCTAGGAAATAGAGATCGATACCAGAGTGCGACACTGTACACACTCACCTAGGAAATAGAGATGGATACCAGAGTGCGACACTGTACACACTCACCTAGGAAATAGAGATCGATACCAGAGTGCGACACTGTTACACACTCACCTAGGAAATAGGGATCGATACCAGAGTGTGACGCTATTACACACTCACCTAGGAAATAGAGATCGATACCAGAGTGCGACAGTGTTACACACTGATTATTCAAGTGAGTGTAATGAAATATTTAGCCCTCCCAAATGGTAATGAGGATGTAGAGTAGAGTAACTGGAATATTCATACATTGCCAATAGGATTTTAAAGTGGTACAGCCACTTGGGAAAACAGCTTGACAATTTCTTCAAAAATTAAACGTATACAGTTGATCTTTGAACAGCCCTTGGGTATGGTTCCAGTACCTGCCATTTATACCAGAATTCTCAGATGTTTAATGGCAAAATAGCTTTCCAGATCCATGGTTCCCCATCTGTGGATTCAACAGCAGCAGATCTTATAGCACTGTAATATTTGTCGGGGAAAAAATCTGCATAGAAGTGGACTCAGGCAGTTCTAACCTATGTTGTTCAAGAGTCAGCTGTACATATCTTACAACTCAGCTGTTTGTCTCCTGGTTACCTATACAAGAGAAATGGAAACATCTGTTCACAAAAGAAAAAAATTGCC